CCCAACAGTGAGGAAAGATTGGAAAGCAGGCAAGCTGTTACTTTACCTAGTTTTCTGGCAGAACATTGCATGTTGTCCTCCATTTGATCCTCAGCAAATCATTTCTGTGTTTTGCAAATACAGAGAAACCCACAGCAATTCATACCATACACTTCAGCATTGATTTTTCTTTTCTTTGGGTATTTTGTGGTGTATGATGCTGTCCCTTGTTCTTGGGTCAAGTCAGATTTGGGGTTAGTATTGGTGCTGATGCTGTGATAGAAGGATCCTGGCATGAGCTGCCCTGCTCCCACCCTCCTCTCGCTTACATCTCAAAACATCTCTCTTTGACCATTCCCTTTGTGTTCCCTGAAGCCACTGTCTCACTGCAACCCTACAGGAGGATACAACTACAACAACTTGCATTTATATTGCGCCCTACAGTGGGGTAGTGTCCTGGAGCGCTATATAGTAGCATTTATTGAGGCACAAACTGAACCCTTGGATCTAAAGTGATAAGATTCATATTCTAGATGTGAACAGGTTAAACCGTTCAAACATACCCACCAACAAGTAGTTCCAGCTGAGCTGAACTTCAGAAATGTCCTGTCTTCCCCCTCCCTGATGACTAGAGATCTTTGCTCGCTATATCAAAAGGCTGTGACTTAGGACACTGGGGAATGTTATAATACTGTGGCTGAGGCCCAATCCTTTATGATAGCCAGTCAAATATTTATCTTGAGACCCGTAGCAGTCCAATAGTATTGCCATCTCAAATTGACTGTGATTTGATTTGAACTATTGGGTTCACTACCACATGTATGCAGATGATACCAATCTCTGCCTCTGCCCTCAACTCCAGGATCACTGCTGTTCCAACCAATATGAAGTTTTGGATGAGCTTTGGCTTTCTTCAGTTGAATGCTGAAGCTCTTCCTGCCTGTTTGACTGCCAACTGTCTTTCAAACCGCACACCCTGGCTCAGCTGATAGTGCTCTTGTCCCTGAGTCACACGGTTGTGGGTTCAAGAGCGATAGTCTTGTAAATAATGTCATGTAAATAATATTATATTAATTGAGTCCATATGCCATAGTGTTATAGCAGATTGGGTACTTTGTCAAACGCTTTTTCAAAAAAGTATCAGACTCCTTCACAAACTGATGGCATTGGGTATCAAGGGCAAGACGTGGATATGGATTGAAAATTGACTGAAGGGAGGGAAGCAGAGGGTAGTTGTTTGGACGACCAGGTCAAAATGAGGATAGGTATTAAGTGGGTACCTCAGGGGGTTGTACTTGGACCCCTTCTGTTCATTGTGTACATTAATGACCTGCATTGGCGGACACAGTGAAAGACAGTGTCATTTATAGTTGAGGGGATCTGTGGAATCAGGGGGGAGAAGATGTTTTACAAAGAGAGCTTAACAGGGTTTGCACATGGGCTGATTACTGGCAAATGAATAGAATTGGTAAAGAATTGGTAATAGGAGGCAGGAGGATTGTGCCTACAATAGGAGCAGTTTATATCAAACAAAAAGCAAAAAAGGTCAAAGAGTCGATCCACAGTGGATGATGCATCTTTTTCTCTGGTCTGGACATTTACACATACACTGCTTCATAAGCTGTGCTCAGAAACCCAGACCACTGATCTGCATTCACTGCACAGTCTCCTCTGGAGGGGGAGGGGGGGGGCTGATGAGCATAAAACTCATTGCTCCCTTTCTTTAAACACATCTAGCTCTAAAAAAACACCAGTCTTCTTACCCGACTATAAATGTTACACTGCTCAGTCTCACATGTGCAATGTTGTGTCAGTAACATTAGTCCACTCTCCACCCTCTATGTTATAAATGTGGCAGCAAAATCTAGATATCCTGATATCCTGAAACAACTATTAAATATAAACATCAGAAAAGAATAGAGCACAATTTTTGTTGAGGTTTCTCAGATAAATCAATCTGGATATATTTAAAGAGCATATTATTATTATTTCCAAAATAATCCACCAGTTTTATTTATTCTTAAAATGTGATGATGTATGTTCAGTATTTGTCAAAAGCCAGGTTTGTGTGTAAGGCGTGGAATTTCTGAGAGCTGCTATCAGGTTCCGTGCAGCAGCCGGGGGTGGGCGGTGGAGTTTCCAACCACTTACATGACAGTAAACTGCTCTCATCCTGACAACAATTTTTTTTGCGCTTTACTAATTAATACATCAACCCATTGAGATAAAAAAAATCCGGGCAAGGCTGTAGAGAAGGAAGCCTGCTGAGAACGGTTGTGGTGAAAAGACAAAATAAAGTCTTAGGGCATGAATGCAAACTGCCACCACTGCACAGCCATGTACTGAGGATGGTGACAGATGTCCACCTTGAACGTCTGGAACTAGAAAAGGTTGATTTGCCTATCAATAATAATAATAATCCTTGCATTTGGTATAGCACCTTAGAATTGTTGTGGAGTCCTGTAGGGCATTGGTTAACATTGCCTCACAAGCGAGAGGGCCTAGGTTTGAAATCCTGGGCAGGGTGAAATGTTAGACAAGTTTCCCTACGCCACACACCTCTGTTTATCCGGCAGTAAGTAGGAACCTGGTTATTCGTGGATTGGCAAAATACTTGGTGCTCTTTGTATTTGGTTTAATTTATTTTAAGCTTAGTGATGTATTTCTGCATAAAAAGTCGGTTAGAATTAACCACAACAAATAGACCACTGGTTTCAAACCCATACGTGTGGGTTAAAATAAAATGACAAATTTGACTAAATGGTAACGACTGCCGTGTGGCAGTGAAAGAGTTTTCCCCCAAGGCTGCAACCACTGAGTGTTGCTGGAATGACTTAGACTTAATCTTCGAATTCAAGATCGTCATCCTCACCTACAAGGCCATTCACGGCCTCGCTCCCTCCTACCGCTCCGACCTACTATCCCCCTACCTACCTGCCCGTACCGTCCGTTCCTCTGGCTCCGGTCTGCTCCACATCCCCCGCCCCAACCGCCTTACCATCGGTGGCCTTTAGCCTCTCAGCCCCGAGGCTCTGGAACTCCATCCCCCAGTGCCTTCGCTGCTTCCTCCCTTTCCTCCTTCAAGGCCGGTCTCAAGACCTTTCTCTTTGACCGAGCCTTCAGCTCCCCTCTCGACTCTCTACCCCCTCCTCGCTCCCTCCCCTCACCCTGACCATTTCCCCCCTGCTCGGGTCCTGACCCAACTGTACAGCGCCTTGGGACATCCTCCCGACGTGAAAGGCGCTCTATAAATGTTGTTGTTGGAGGAGGACACGTGTCTGTGTGTGGTTGTGGAGTGGGTATAAGCTGCAGAGTGGAAGCTTGTGGGGGAGGTATTTGTTTGTCAGCTGGGTGTCCACGCTTCAGAGAATCCAAACCATTCAGAGTGCCACATCTGGAATGCCAACTACACATAGAAATTTCCCTGTGCCCGGAATGGAATGCACTCCCTCTCCCTGAAGGGATGCACCCTATTTGCCAAGAGAGCGTTAGATGCCGGTTGGAAAGAATCAAAGCTTGGGGACCCCAAAGTGTGCGGCAGAATAACCGCTGGAATCTCACCAGCTAAAATCATAGAGTTTGCCAATGAAAGCATTGTCTGTCATGATTCTCACTGCTAATCCAGCTAAGACCACCTTACGTGTTAGGGCTTTAGCTTGAAGTATTAACAGCTGTAGCACGTAGGGAGTTTAGGACATATGTGCATGCGACCACCAGGAAAGGAAGGTGGAAGGCAAACTAGATGGACCTTGTTTTTTTGTCTAGAATTTGTTATGTTTTGTATAGCACCAATTATATTTGTATAGTGCCTTTCACGTCAAGAGGACATCCCAAGATAACTAACAACAGAGAATCACTGGCTCAGGAACCACCTAAAGCAGGCATAAGATGGCTATGACTCTGTATATGCAGCTTGTCTATGGGGCTGGAGTGGGTTGCATGGTGCAGATGTGAAGAGAATTCTTTGTCTAGGTGCTGTTTTTCTCAGTGATAATGTCAAGCTAAACGTCAGTGTGGTACAGCCCCGATCAGATAAGTAATGCATGTCGTTGAAGTTTCTGCCTGTGACGCAGATTCTTTCAATCAGCTTTCCACTCTGCCAGCCCGCATTTCCCGTTGATAAACACTAACAGATCAGATCTCCAGCTCTCAGGGGGCACAGGAACAGTTTATCCATTTCTGCATTATATTCACAAGTAACATATTATACTGCAAACTGCTGTCATCTTGGCCAAGTCGGCAGCATTCTCAATGCTGGAACAGAAAAATTGAGAGTTCAAGTCACATGATTCTGATGTTCAGGAAAAACAGTGGAGCTACTGACAACATTACTGCCATCCACTCACTCCTCATTACTCCGTGATGGGCATTGTTACCAGTGGCTTCAATGTGACAGGACACAGAAAGTTAGTTCCAGCTGAGCCTACTCCATGCCTCCCCACGCTGGTGCTATTTGCCATTGAAATTGCCATCCATTTACAGCCCACATGTCCTATTGGCAATGGGTGTTGAACCAGGATCATTGCCTCTCTCCAAAAACAGCTTCTCATTGGCTATGAACTGGGTGTCACATTTTGACCCTGACAGAGACTGAAAAAACACAATTTGCGGTAAAAAACGGGATGGGCTTTTATTCAGGTGCTATTTGCCATTGGAATTTCAATCTCACCACTTCCTGCTAATAGGATAGCCTGAAATGTGGCACTGTAGTGAAAGGGGTTCCAAGCCGTAAATATTCTGTTAATTTGTTGTTCACTTCATTGCTGGGTAACAGGACTTTGGTGATGCAGATTAGCTGCTTACTATAAGTGGGTCACTACACTTCAAAGTAACTTACTGTATAAAGCACTTTGAGATGCCTTGATGTGTAAGGCACTGGATCTATTATTTTTCATTATTATTATTATTTCAGAGATAAACATTCCAAAGGCATCTCTCTGCTCAGCTTGGCTCCACAATCTCCTGCACGTATCCTCACAGGTGACATTCAATGACAGGAAAGAGGACAAATGGAGCTCAGGTAAATTAGACCAATGTTTACTAATTATTACACAGTATAAAGACAGGTTTATATCAAACCAAATATTATATAAAGTATAAAAACAAAGCAATCTCGGATCCTAATACTGTCAACACCGAGAGTTTAAAACACCGAGCACGTCACAGTGTCACACCACTGTAACAGAACAGGCACAATCACCTCAAGTGACCAACAGCCACACACAACGCAGTATAAAAACATCAAAAATACAAGGGCCAGCAGGAGCCCCACATAACAGTCTCCCCTGCTGCTCATTGCTAACCAGTGTGTCTGGATGCCTGCATCACAAAACACAGTTAACAACAAAACTTTAGAGCGCCTTTCACATAGCAAGACTATCTCAATGCACTTTGCAAAGATGGAGTAGGAGCCAAGCTGGGAGGGAGACAGGGTCAGGAGGGGAAAGGTGCAAAGGCTAAGCCAGAGACTGGTCTGCAGACAGGTTTTCAAAGCCGGGAGAGAGGGAGGCGGAGAGATTTTGGAAAGAATTCCAAAGTGGGCTCTCTCCTAGGGTTTGCAACGGTAAATAAAGTAGAGCAAGGCCAGAGAGGCATTTGAAGGGAAAGTCAAAATTGATCCACTGACTAGGCAGGAGCCAATGGAACCGGCTGGTGGTGATGGATTGTGGAGTTTGGTGCGGGAAAAGATGTGGGCTGTGGAGTTCAGGATAGTTCAGGAGTTTGTGGAGACGGGAGGTCAGTGAGGGGGCATTGGAAACGTCGATTCTGGAAGAGCCAGAGGAGGGGCTGAAGGTTTTGGTTGCATTGGGGGTGAGGTAGTGTTGGCAGTGGCAATGTTGCGGCAATGGAGGAAAATGCACTCGCTCAGACTCCAGATGAAAGGCTTAAAAGGAGAGTTGAGGATTGAACCAGAACGCCGAAATTCCACACAGGCTCCAAATGTTGGAGTCAGCAACCAGGAAGGTTGGATTGCTGAGAGTTTCGAGGGTGAGTTAGGTCAACATGAACCCCACAGAGCAGTCTGGGTGATGTTAGAAGCCGTGGGATTTGTCGGAGGCAGTCAATCCCTGGGAGCTCTCCAAGAGAAATGCAGCAAAGTCTGAATGTGCACCAGCAGGTGGCAGTGCCGCTCAGCCCTCGGCCTTGCTGTTCTCCACCACTGGATGCCAGCAGCAGATGAGAGCACAAGATAGACAGAGCAGGTTGACCACGATGGAACTCAGACTGTCAGTACTTTGGTGACCTGAATCCAATACTTGTGGTCAATGTGACGGCAGATATAAACCAACATGTTGCTTCCACTACAGTCCAAGCTGCAGTATTTAGCTGGGACACAACATTGTCAGCTCCAAGTTGGAGATGTGAAGATAGTCTGTTTAGCCACAAGCTGCTGTTAATCAGCTCGTGCCGCTCCCTCATTTGTTCAGTGCCTCCACCAGGGGATTGTTCTCAGTCTCTGGACTCTGGACGCTGTCTGTCCGCACTATGCAGGTTGGTCGGTGTCGGTTGAGTAAGTGAATAAGCTGCTGTCGCTCCTGTTTCAGCTCCTCAATCTGTGCTTTCAGCTCAGAATTCATCAGCTCCAGCCTCTCCGACTCCTGCAACCACGTGGCAAAGAGTGAGCACCGGTAAAGCTCTCCAGGCAATCATGGCATTGATCTGCAGCAGAGTGCCAGCCTCTGCACGTGGCCACAGCAGTAGACTGAATGCCAAGTACAACCGCAATAACAACAACAACTTGCATTTATATAGTGCCCTTCACGCGAGGTAGTGACCCGGAGTGCTCCAGCTACAACTGGAAGTGGGATCTGCAGGTTCCAGCTCAAGTCTATGCTGAGTTACTGAACTTAGGCATGGACAGGACAGGTGGTGTGGAGCTGAGGGGGAAATCAGCTTGTGTTCTTACTCCTGCAGAGACCCCTGCTGCCAGGGCACATTACATATGTAGCTGTTGGGTGAAGACAGGAGCTGGCATGATTACAAAGCCCCTCCTGTCCCAATCAGTCGAATGTCTTCAGATACTGGGACAAGATACAAAGGTACGAAGGGTATATGGAAACATACCCTCACATGAAGGAAGAACAGCCTGCAACAAGATAACATCCCCCATACACACTCCAATTAATAACAACACATGAGGGTGGTGATTTATACAGCACCCTCTTCATGTGGGGCAGGATCTCGGAGTGCTACAATCAAGACACCAGCTAGCACCTCACCTTCTGCAGGAACTCGGTACGTTCCTTCTTCTTATTCCGACATCGAGCTGCTGCCACTTTGTTTTTCTCCCGTCTTCTCCTCCTCCGCTCCACATCCTCCTGATCCGTCTAAAGAAAAGTGGTTACCATTAAACAGATTAAACAGCCCAATATCAATTACACCACAGTTTAGAGACAGTGAAGCTCCCTCTATTCTATCCAATGCTGCCTTTTGCCCACATCCCTAGTTCCTTTTTAGACAATCTCCGAGTTCCTTCTTGAAAGCACTTGAAACCGCACCAGCAAAGTATTCCACATCTTAACAATGCTCTGTGTAAAAAATCCTCTTAAACTCTCACTTTGCTCTCATGTACTTCGATGAGACGTTAAACCGAGGTCCCATCTGTGTCTGTTCAGGTGATTGTTAAGGTGATCTACGGTGCTATTCAAAAAGAGATTTTCCTGGTGTCCCGGCTAACCATCCCCCAGATGAAATTGGACACTCACTTTGGCTTTTGTGGGACATTGCTCAAATACAAATGTCTCTCCCCCTAATCCTCAAATGCTTCTCTCTTTTGCTCCCCTGTAACCTTTCCCTCACCCCCTCTTAACACTTCACTTCATGTCATATGTGACCAGGACTCCCTCTGCCTCCTGGTCCTCTCCGCTGCCTTTGACACAGTGGACCACTCAATCCTCCTCCACTGCCTCTCCTCCCACCTCAAGCTTTAAGGTTCTGTCGTTGACTGGTTCAGGACCTACCTTTTAAATCGTCGCCACTTTGTCGCAGCAAACGGTGCTCCTCGGGGCTCTGTCTTCGGTCCCCTCCTCTTCACCCTCTACATGTTCCCTCTTGGTGACATCATCCGCAGACATGGGGTAAATTTCCACATGTGTGTGGATGACACCCAACTATCTCTGCCTCCACCCTCAACTCCAGGACCCACTGGCATCCTGACCAACTACGTCCCACATCAAGTCCTGGACGAGGGACAACTTTCTCCAACTCAATGTCAGCAAGACTGAGGCCCTCCTGATTGGCTCACGCCAACTCCTCCGCACCTCGGGTGTTGGCAGCGTCAGCCTCCACGGCTGCACACTCAACCTCACTGAGCCAGTCAGGAACCTGGGGGTCTTCTTTGACTCTGAATTGCCCTTTCTCCCCCACATCCGCACCATGACCGGCACTGCCTACCACCACCTCCGCAACATTGCCAGACTCCGCCACTGCCTCACCCCTCAGGCTGCCCAAACCCTCACCCACACATTCGGCACACCAAGGCTCGACTAAGGGAACTCCCTCCTCATCGGCCTTCCCAACTCCTCCCTTCACAAGCTGCAGATCATCAAAACTCCCGACGTGAAAGGCGCTCTATAAATGGAATTTTGTTGTTGTTGTCATGTGAGCCTGATTGCTGCAGAATCCCGGTTACTGCTCACCTCACTCCTCACTGTGTGCTGCCTCTTTCCCAGCTTCATGCCAAGGAAGTGCAAGGGCGAGAGAATGCCTCCCACATGCCGCAAGTCTGCAAATGTCAGGTCCTCCGCTGTCAGTGTGTCCATGGGGATTCCAGTCAGCATTCCTACAACTGGCAGTGACCCTGCCGTCACACAGGGTTCGGGGATTTGTCCAGGCATCATCTCCAGCCAATACAAGGCGCTCAACTCAGAGTGTCTACGAACGTGAAGCCCTGGGACATGGAGAGCTTGTGTTAGAAACCAAAGGCACTGAAGGATTCAGTCAGCAATGCCATGACCTACACACAAACCTCAAGTTACACACCTCACAATCTTCTCGCTTATGTAGCCTCGTACACACTAATACAATACAATTTACAACACAACATTGGGAGGCTGTCTCAAAGAGCTTGACAAAGCTGGATCACATAGGATGAACATCTCAAAGCACTTCACAGAAATGACTGGGAGCACTGAACAGGGAGGAGAGGGTTGTCAAAGGCAGCGGTAAGAATTTGAGCTTCAGAAGGAGTGAGATGCAATGTAAACAGACAATTTTCTGGTGATGGAAGAAAGTGGTTTTGGTCAAGCAACGATTGTTGGGTTTGAAACAAAACTGGGGCTCGAGCCAAACGTCAAAGTTACACACTGGGTGAAACAGCCAGAGTCACAACTAGAGGTAAGAAGATACTGGCAAAAGCTGAACAAGATGGCTTCTGATTTGTTCATTTAAAGGAAATATTATTCATGATAATGTCTACTATTGGTTAATAATAATCCTTGCATTTCACGTCAGAAGGATCTCTGTGTGCAGGGACTCCTCAGAGCTGAACTGGCTCCAAGGTGACATGTTTGCCAACAGAATATCAGAATCAAGTCCATCCTCTGCGGTGGTCTCGGTAATCCAGTTCCTGAGCCAGGTAGGTCCACAGTATTCCAGGGCACTCACTGCTGACAGCACAGCCCGACTGGCTCATCAGCAGGACCTGGTAGGGCCGACCAGTCACTGGAGGCAGGGAGTCATCCCCCTCAGCTCTGTTAACCCTGCAGCCAAAGCCCTAACAGACAGGGTGGTCCTAGCTAGACAAGTAGCAGGAAAACATGCCAGAGCGCTCCCAATGGCAAGCTATGTGAGTTTAACTGGTGAGACTCCAGCAGTTACCCCAATGCACACTCTGGGATCTCCCCAGGAGCCAAACCTTGGCTCTTGCCAACCTGCGTCTACACCTCTGGAATGAGGTCAGCAGAGGCTTCCTTCTGGGGAGAGAGTTCCCATTTCCGTTCCAATAAACATCTCCGCAATCAACATCTCTAGGTGGGAACCAATGAACTCAATTTGGTTTGATTTGCTTAACAAGCACATTGATGGGTTTCTGCTTGTGTTGGCCAAAAAAACACATAAGGGGATCTCAAAGAGCTCAACAGGATTTAATGTCAACCCGAACAGGCAGACATAACTTTGGTTCAACATCTCATCTGAAGGACAGCCAAAGTCTCTGACAATCCCCCAGCATTGCGCTGCAACTTAAATTTTGTGGTGTGTGGCTTGAACACACAAACTTCTGACTCAGGGGAGACTGCTGTCAACTGTGCCAGCTGACACCTGAGATGTGAAAAATACCAAGGAGACATTTAAAAGCAAGGGCGCAGATTTTTAAGTTGACCCACTGAAGAAAAGGAGCCAGTGTAGGCTCTAATTAGGGCAAGGATGGGGGGGGTGATGCACTTGTATAGGACCCTTAACGTAAAGAATGTCTCAAAAGCACTTTACAAAGCCTGAGTGGGACCTTGTGCATGTGGTGGGGGGGGAGGAGAGACAGATGGCTGAAATACAGTCAAAGTTGGAAAGATTTATGAAGGGAATTCTAGGGATGGTGATAAATGTCTCCAACAGGGAATGGTAAGAACGATGAGAACAATGGTGGAAGGAATGTTCCCATAATTTAAAGAGAGAGGGGGATAGAGATATACCAAAGTGATGGCAGTTGAGAGAGCAGTGATGACACTTGTTTTGAAAGGAGAGGGACAGTCCCAGAGATGGAGATTGCAGCCACATCACCTCACACATTCTCAGGACAGGTTATTAGCCACAACTCCATAAATGGAGAGCTTCTGTTTACATAATAATTACAATCATTGCATTTGATTAACTTCTTTCATGTCAGGGGGACATCTCAAAGCGCTTCACAAGAATTTGCTGTAATGTGTAGTGACTGTATTTCGCAGGCGAACGTAGCAGCCAATTTGTGCACAGCAATATCCGCAAACAGCCATTATACATAGCCTCTTTCACATAAAAGCTGTCGAAGCACGTCACAAAAATAATGAACACCAAGCGGGGAATAAAGACTTAAATATATTGACCAAACGCACTATCAAACAGATAATAAAATAATAAGCCATTTGATACAGCATTTCATCACTGAAACATCTCAAAGTGCTACAGTTTTCTGTATCCATAAATCGCAACTTACGTAAACCTCATCCGCACCAAAGTCTGCCGGCCCAGTCCCTGCAGGATGCCACCGGCTCCTGGGTCCTCATCCTCACCTAGAAATCCCTTCCCACCCTAGCACTTGCCCATCTCCTATTTGCTCCTACCACACTCCTGTGTTCGTCCCTGTGCTTGTGGATATGTGCGTGTCTTCATCGCTGCCATCGGAGGCTGAGCCTTCAGATATGACACCCCTGAAATCTGGAACTCCCTCATTCTCCCTGTCCTGAATGTACGTCTAACGTACAAGTCGCACGTTAAACCCACCTCTTCCAAACACAGGAATTGTCATCCATAAGTGGTATGTGTGGAACTCTCAGTCTGGTGTGGATAGGTGTGGAGTCCTGTAGCTCAGTGGTTAGAGCACTCGCTTTGCAAGTGAGTGACCTGAGTTCAATTCCAGGCAGAGGGCGAAACCTTGGGCAAGTTTCCTTACTCCACACAGAGCCTAATAATAATCCCTCCAAAACCAAAAACAATAATAAATTGGTCATTTTCAATCTACGACTGTTTGTGGGACATTGCTGTGCGCAATTGGCTGCCGCGTTCGCCCACAAATATACAGTCAATTCACTTCACAGTATATTCTGTGAAGCGCTTTGGGACGTCTCCATGAAATGCTATATAAATGCCAACACAGGGTAACCCTCTCCCCCCAACACACAGGCCCTGCCAACGTGCCCCCCCCCCCCACATCACTACAGTGGTCCCTGCTGCCCCCCCTCACAGGCCCGGAGCTGACTGCAGCCGCACTGAGACACAGGGAGCGACAGTGGGGGATTAGCAGTGAATGAAATCTCACAATCAATTTGATGTGCACACTCCCCCCACCCCACACACTCCCCCCCCCCCCACTCCCCCCCACCGCGCACACTCCCACCCCCACACACACACCCTCCCCCCCACACTCCCCCCCACAAACTCCCCCCCACCGCACACACACACACCCTCCCCCCCACACACTCCCCCCCCACACACTCCCCCCCCCCCCCCGCGCACACACACTCCCCCCCACACACTCCCCCCACACACTCCCCCCACACACACACCCCCCCCCACTCCCCCACACACACTCCCCCCCCACACACACCCACACACGCTTCCCAAACTACCTGTCCACAAACACACATTCATCCCACACATACACACCCCACACTCCCCTCACACGCGCCCCCACACACATACACACCCCACACTCCCCCCTCACACGCGCCCCCACACACATACACACCCCACACTCCCCTCACACGCGCCCCACACACATACACACCCCACACTCCCCCCTCACACGCGCCCCCACACACATACACACCCCACACTCCCCCCTCACACGCGCCCCCACACACATACACACCCCACACTCCCCCCTCACACGCGCCCCCACACACATACACACCCCACACTCCCCCTCACACGCGCCCCCACACACATACACACCCCACACTCCCCCCACACTCTCCCCCCCCACACACACTCTCCCCGCACACTCTCCCCCCCACTCCCCCCGCACACTCTCCCCCGCACTCCCCCCCCACTCCCCCCGCACACTCTCCCCCCACTCCCCCGCACACTCTCCCCCCACTCCCCCCGCACACTCTCCCCCCACTCCCCCGCACACTCTCCCCCACTCTCCCCCCACTCCCCCCGCACACTCTCCCCCCACTCCCCCCGCACACTCTCCCCCCACTCTCCCCCCACTCTCCCCCCACTCCCCCCGCACACTCTCCCCCCACTCCCCCCGCACACTCTCCCCCCACTCCCCCCGCACTCTCTCCCCCCACTCTCCCCCCACTCCCCCCGCACACTCTCCCCCCACTCCCCCCGCACACTCTCCCCCACTCCCCCCGCACACTCTCCCCCACTCTCCCCCCACTCCCCCCGCACACTCTCCCCCGCACACTCTCCCGCACACTCTCCCCCCACTCCCCCGCACTCTCCCCCCCACTCCCCCCCGGTTGCCTGTGGACCCCCCCCTGTGGCTCTGGGAGTTCGGGGCTGTTGTTCTCGCACTAAAGGGAAAGTTTGGGAAGTTCCAGAGCGCGACAGCGGAGAAACCGGTAAATACCTGTCCCGGTGCCGGGGTCCGCCCTTCCCCGGGGCTGTGGCTGTGGCTGTGCCCGGGGCCGTGCCCGGGGCTGTGGCTGTGCCCGGGGCTGTGCCCGGGGCTGTGGCTGTGCCCGGGGCCGTGCCCGGGGCTGTGGCTGTGCCCGGGGCCGTGCCCGGGGCTGTGCCCGGGGCCGGGGCTGTGGCTGTGCCCGGGGTCGGGCCGGGGATGGGGCGCGGCGGAGCGGCGGTGGCGGTGGCGGCGGCTCGAGCCGTTGCATCAGAGGCTGTTTTTATGGGATCGGAGGGTTTGGGAGGGTTTGGGAATGCGGAACAGCACCAACTCACGTCATTCCGTCTCCACCACTCAGCCCCTAACGACCAAACAACACAGCGACTCCCAGAGATTCCCAACTGAGTACCTCAGCCCTGGGCCGGGGGTCAGGGGGGCACAGGGGAGGGGGGCACAGGGGGAGGGGGGCACAGGGTGGGCACGGGGGGAGGGGGGCACGGGGGGAAGGGGGGCACGGGGGGGGAGGGGGGGCACGGGGGGGAGGGGGCACAGGGGGAGGGGGGGCACAGGGTGGACACGGGGGGAGGGGGCACAGGGGAAGGGGGCACAGGGGGAGGGGGGGCACAGGGTGGGCACGGGGGGAGGGGGGGCACGGGGGGAGGGGGGGCACGGGGGGAGGGGGGGCACGGGGGGGGGAGGGGGAGGGGGGGCACAGGGGGAGGGTGGGCACAGGGTGCGCATGGGGGGAGGGGGGGCACAGGGTGGGCACAGGGGGAGGGGGCACAGGGTGGGCACAGGGGGAGGGGGGTACAGGGGGAGGGGGCACAGGGGGAGGGGGAGCACAGGGGGTACACCTAACTGCTGGAGACCTGAGAGTCAGTGGTTACAGCAGTCGCTTTGCAACCCGGAGACTTGGGGTCTGTTCCCGCGCAGCGCCAAAGGTTGGCCAAGTTTCCGCGCTCCGCACACCGCTGTTTACCAGCAGTACGTAGGAACCCGGTTGTTAGTCAATTGGCGGATCAATTTTCTGGGGGTAATAATCCCTCAATAAAAAACACTAATAATTTGGTCACTCAATCCATGACTGTTTGTGGGACACGGCTGTGCCAAAGTCAATTCACTTTACAGTCTATTCTGTGAAGTGCTTTGAGATGTCGAGAAGACATGAAAAGCGCTATATCACATCCCCGGATTATTATTATTATTACTACCTTGGCTTTGTATTCAATGTTCCTGTGTATAAAATCCAGAATCCCATTTAATAATAATAACAATCCTTGCGTTTGATATAACACTTTTCATGTCTTCTCAATGTCTCAAAGCACTTCACAGAATAGACTGTAAAGTGAATTGACTGTATATTTTTGGGCTTTTTATGGCCTTTCAACCAACGATAAAAAGCTGTGTATCCAGATCTCCATCCTTAGACATCAAATACAAATGTTTCCATAATAATAATAATCCTTGCATTTATGTAGTGCCTTATCACATTGTCAGGACTTCTCAAAGTGCTTCACAAGATATACTGTAAAGTGGAGTGACTGTGTGTTTTGCGGGCAAAACCTGGCAGCCAATTGCACACAGCAGTGTCCCAAACAGCCAAGGGGTGAGTGACCAATTTTATTTTGGGGGATTGTTGGCCAGAACATTGGGAGAAACTGCCTTCTCTTTTCGAATCGTGCCAGGGATTTTTAACAACCATCTGAACAGATAAACAGGACCTTGGTTCAACATCTCATCCAAAGGACGGCACTTCTGACAATGCAGCTTCCCCCCTCCATCTGCTCTAGCAACTATCTGCCCAATCTGCTGAGCAGCATTTCATTTTCTGCTTTCTTCCTCAATTTACTCCACACCCAAAGTTAGAATTATCAGCAAATTTAGAAACCGGAATAGAGGAAGCAGGATGCATCCTCCAGGGGAGAGAGAGAGAGAGAGAGAGAGAGAGCACACTTCATTCCAACAATCTATCTCTGGGATTTCCAAATATAAGTGGAATGCATGGAATTCTCAGTTTGGTTTGGATACTCTTAAGCATGGGTTTCTGCATGTGTCAGACACTCGGCTAACCATTATTTTTCCAAATCAGTAGTTAGAAAACAAATATTGTACAGAATGTACAGCACAGAAACAGGCCATTCGGCCCAACCAGTCAGTGCCAGTGTTTATACTCCACACGAGTTTTTAAAAGCCTGATTTTAGTCCTGAGCTCATGTGGCAATTTATCAAAAGCCTCTGAAATACACCACATCCACTGCATTTCCCTCGTCTAATTTATCAGTTACATTTTCAAAGAATTCAGTAAGCTTGATCAAGCATAACCTTCCTTTTGTAAATCCATATAGGCTGCTCTTAATTATGTGGCGCCTGATAGCGTAGTGGTTAGAGCGTTCACCCCGCAAGTGAGAGGACCCGGGTTTGATTCCCTTAGGCAATTATCCTTAGTCCACATGTACCTGTTTACCTAACAGTATGTATGAGCTCAGTTGTTAATCGATTGGTGGATTGCTTTCCGGGGTTAATAACCCCTAAAAAAAATTGGTCACTCAATACACAACTGTTTGTGGGACGCTGCTGCACACAATTGGCTGCCGGGTTTTTCCGACAAAATACACAGTGAATCAATCCACTTTACAATATATATTGTGCAGTACTCTACCAAATGCGAGGATTTGCATAACCTTCCTTCTGTAAATCCAAATCCAGGATTTGCGTATTTGTGTGTGGGGTGGGGACTGTGTGTGAGGGAAGGGGGCCTGTGTTAGGGGGTGGCAGTGATGGTCCTGTGTACAAAGAATTGTTTCCCACTGTTAGCAACACATTCAAGGTTTGTCCTTCTATTTTTTTAAGCCAAATCTCAGTTGAAGACGATCAAGTATTGTTGCTTCTGAATCTTCTGTGCATGATCCTGGGTCTGAAATTGTACTTCAGACCAGGATGGCAGGTCGAGGCTGAAGTACATAGCACAGGCCCCAAGACAGTCGGGGATCATTCCTAAAGTTGTAATTATAAGTGAAACTGCACATGACCCTGGTGCTTAACTGCAGTCATACTTATTCCAACCTGGTGTAACCCTTGTCAGTATCAGTGGCTTTTCTCTCTATTTCTCCTGTCAACACTCATTACTTCTCAAAAGAGCTTTTGTGTCTGAGCTGGAAGCAATTTCCATTTCCCGGCAGTATTCAAAGTGAGTGGG